GATGAAGGGGCGGCGCTGGCCGCGCTCCCCACGCGTGGGCAGTGAGTCCCCCACGGCCCTGAACCCTCAGCGCCCACCCTCCTCCGGCTCCTCCATCCATCCATCCTTCCTGTCCCTCCTGTCTTCTGCCCCATTCCTTCTCCCCTTCCATCCCCCTGCCCCCATATATCCGCCCTATTCCCTCTGTCTCCCCACCTCCCCTTCCCTCTCCCTTTATCCCAAAACTCGGGTGTTTCGAGCCCCCAGGCTGCTGGAGAAGCAGGAGCAGGGAGGTTTTTGGGGGGGGTTCGGGCTCGTCGCTGGGGGTTTGCAGCCAGGCCACCCCCAGTGTGTCCCCAGCGTGTGCCAGGGCTCACCGCAGCCCGCCCTGGGGACGCAGGATCCTGTGGAAAGGCAGAGGGGCCGCGCTGCCCACCCAGCCTGGACCAGCCGCCCCGTGCCCACCCAGCCCGCAGCCCTGCCCGCTGCCCGTGCCCGCCCCGGAGAGCCCCTCAGCTGCTGCCAGGCCGTAAGCGATGCCCCCAGCCCCCCATTTTGGGATCTGGGTGCTGCTGGCTCGCTGCTGAGCCCCCGTCCCTCGCAGGGCGCAGGGCACCAAGGCGGTGGCGAAGGGAGCCGCCGTCCACGTGGGGCTGAACTTCGTGAAGATCCACTGCCAGAACGAAGCTGTCTACCAGTACCACGTCACCTTCAGGTGATAACGGGGGGCAGGGGTCCCCCACAGCCCCTCAAGGGTCCCCCACAGCCCCTCGAGGTTGGGGTGTCCCCTGGCAGAGCCCTCTGCGTCCCCATGAGGTGGAGCGGCCCCGGCGCGTCAGAGAGCTCCGGGGTTTTTGCCCTCGTGGGGGATTTTTGGGTGGGCTGAGTGAGGTCTGGGGGAGGCAGAGGAGGGAGAAGAGCCCCTGTGTGCCCCCAGCCCCGAGGTGGAGTGCAAGGCTGCCCGCTTTGCCATGGTGAAGGAGCAACGCGCTGTGACCGGGGACGTGATAGCCTTCGACGGCTCCATCCTCTTCCTGCCCATCCAGATCCCCAAGGTAAGGGGTGGGGGGGGGGAGGTCTCCCCTGCTTTGGGGGTACAGGGGTGCCCCTGTTTTGGGTGGGAGAACCCCTCTGGCCCTGCCAAAGGTCAGCCTGAAGGCTCAGAGGAGCAGCGACGGGCAGGAGATCATCATCAGCATCCAGATGACCAAAATCCTGGAGCCCAGCTCGGATCTCTGCATCCCCTTTTACAACGTGGTGTTCCGCAGGTGAGGGGCCACAAAGACCCTCCCCGAGCCCAAGGAGGAGACCCCTTTCCTCCTCCTTCCTGTCAGTCCTCATCCAGCCCTACTTTCCCTGCTTTTCCTTCCTTAGAGTGATGAAAATCTTAAATATGAGCCTGGTTGGGAGAAATTTCTTTGAGCCTGCCCAGGCCACCACCCTGCAGAAATACAGGTGGGTGCTGGCACTTTGCCTTCCCACAGGATCATCCCTGTTTCCCTGGAAACTGGGAAGCGTTCCCAGGTCGGCCTGACTTTGGAGCAGCTTGCTTGGAGAAGTTGGGAAGTGAATCGCTGAGTTTTGGGAGCTGCTTGGCTGCTCCAAGTTTAAGCCAGGCCTCTTTCCCTCCGGACGCAGCCTCCATATCTGGCCGGGCTACGCCGTCAGCATCGGGAGGAAGGACAGCGGGCTCTTCCTCATGGTGGACTCCATCCACAAGGTCATCCGCAGCGAGTCCGTGCTGAGCGTGATGTGAGGAAAGCAGCAAAACCCCCCCAGAGCCGGGGGGGACGAGGGTGCTGCAGGAGGTGGGGTGGCACTGGGGGGGAGCATGCCGTGCCTCTTCTCTTTTCCCAGGCAAACCATCCACTCGCAGAGCCAGAGGACGTTCCAGGACGAGTGCATCAAGCAGCTGGTGGGGAGCGTGGTGATGACACGCTACAACAACCGCACCTACCGCGTGGACGACATCGACTGGGACAAGACCCCCAGGGACACTTTCACCCTGGCCAGCGGGCAGGAGATCACCTTCGTGGACTACTACAGGTGAGGAGGAGCTGCTGGATCACGCCGTGGGAACGGGCTGATGCCAGGTTGGGGGGAGTGGGAGCAGGGAGGGGGTTTGGGGCTGGGTGTTCTGCAAGATCCGTCCCAAAGCGAAATTCCAGGGGGGGTGTGATAATGTTTTTTTTTTCCAGCAAGACCCACGGGATCACCATCAGGGAGCTGGACCAGCCCCTGCTCGTCCACAAGCCCAAGGAGAAACAGATGCCAGAGGGGAGGGTGAGCGGGCATGGAGATCCACGGGCTGCTCTGGCCTCCTGCAGCCCCTGGGCAGAGCAGCTATTCCCAGCTATTCCCAGCCCCTGGAATGCTGAGGGTGCCTGTCCCTCCCTGCAGCCCCAGCTGAAGATGGTGCTGCTGGTACCAGAGCTGACCTTCCTCACCGGCCTCTCCGACCTCCGCAAGAACAGCCGCATGCTGAAGGTCAGAGCGTGTCTCGTGCCCTGCTCCCGCTTTTCCCGAGGCTTCGGGAGCCCTGCCTCACCTCCAGGTGTTGCTCCTTCAGGAGGTGACGTGGGAGATGATCCAGAACCCCCAGCAGCACTACCAGCGCCTCGCCGGCCTCCTGCGCCGCATCCGCGACAGCGCCGAGGCGTCCCGGGAGCTGCAGGGCTGGGGGCTGCTCCTGGACACGGATATCTACAGGGTGAGGAAAGCCTGCGGGGCTCCCCGCCTCCCCCTGCCCACCCGGGGCAGCACAGGCAGCTCTGGAGCTTCCCCCTCTGCCCAGACCCAGGCTCACATCCTGCCCACGGAGAGGATCAACCTCCGGCACCGCTCCTTCCTCCCCACCGAGGAGCTGGGCTGGCACCGCGAGGTGACCAAGGAGGTGCCCATCGCCGTGGTGAGCAGAGCCTGCCCTGCTGGGGATGGCTGGGATGGGTTTTCCCAAGTGCTGGGCCCTGTGGCCGGGCTGCTTCCAGCACAAACCCTGCCCTGGTTTGTGCTGGATGGGAGCTCCAGCCTGTTTTTCCCCGAGGAGTTGGAGGTATGTGGCTGTGGTGTCTGTTTCCCGCCTCGTCCCAGGGTGGAGGGAGCCTTCCACAGGCAGGACCTGGATGGAATTCAATCCAAATTTCCTTTGGGCTGCTTTTCCTCTCCCAGATTCCACTCTGTGTTCCAAATTTCTCTAGGGTCACTTTCTTTCTCCCAAATTTCCCTCTCCCAAACTCTCTGCTGTGCTCCAGGTTTCTCTAGGCCCAGTTTCCCTCTCCCAAATTCCCCTCTGTGCTCCAGGTTTCTCTAGGCCCAGTTTTCCTCTCCCAAATTCCCCTCTGTGCTCCACATTTCTCTTGGGCCACTTTCTTTCTCTGAAATTCCCCTCTGTGCTCCAGATTTTTCTAGGGTCACTTTTCCCAAATTCCCCTCTGTGCTCCAGGTTCCTCTTTGTCCAAATTCCCTCTCCCAGATTTCCCTCTCCCAAATTCCCCTCTGTGCTCCAGGTTTCTCTAGGCCCAGTTTTCCTCTCCCAAATTCCCCTCTGTGCTCCAGGTTTCTCTAGGCCCAGTTTTCCTCTCCCAAATTCCC